CATTTTAGCTATTTTTACATATAATTTTTTCTTTATTTTATTAATGAAATGTATTTTAAATTTTTTTTTTTTTTAAATCAGCATAATCAACCAATGCAGCCACTTCAACTAGAACTTCATAAAGTTCAGTAGAATCAGACGAATCAGCCGATTTTTGTGTTACCAAATAGGCTCTATATCATAATCAGATATATTAATAACAATAAGTAGCAGTATTCCAACTATTAACTGAAGTAAATTAGTATTCCAACAATAAGGGCGCTAGTGGTGAATTCAATTTGGTTCGATTTTATATTTCAAAATATGAAATCACGTTTTGAAATTGTTTCAGTTTAATTTTGATTTTTTTACTTTTTACAAACAGTGTTACCATTTGATAGAAATATTATACAGACATTGCATACAGTAAAAGAAAAACAGAAAGTAAACAATAAAAAATCAATGGAAACATACAAGAAAGGATAAAAAAGGAGGGATAATGATATCCTTGGACTATACATCACAGAATACATACATATCTTTTGAAACAATTAAGCTAAAGTGTGAACTAAGAGTTTCGTGTTGTCTACTACCGAATATAAAAAGAAAATTGTAGCAGTTTTTTATTTTGGGGTTTTGCCAGAGTATTAATAAAATAAAGTTGATTTCTACAAATGTGACCACTTTTAAATTTGGACAAAAATGTGACCAGTTTTTTAAATTTTGAAAAAAATGTGAGTAAAATAAAGTGACATCCAAAGATTCATGTCACTATCCATTTTCATGTCATTGTCGAACGTCACCGCCGCCGCCGTCCGTGTCACTGTCGCCACCGCCCTACCACAATGACACCGCTATAGTGACACCGTCACAGTGACACCTCCCATGGTGACTGCCGCCACCCCCATCGGCCAGTGACTGCCGCCCCCCGCCCCACCGATCGCGACGGCTGGCCGGTGACCGCTGCTGGACACAGTGACACATCCAAAGTGACACCTCCACGGTGACATTGTGGACTCTAGCATGACTAGTCCCCACCAGTCCTGCCCCACCAGCCTCGCCTCAACCCACAAGCTCCACGCCAACCCACCAGCCCCACCCCAACCCAGGCCCAAACCCCACAACACCCTCCACAACCTCACAACACCCTCCATTTGAGGAAAGCAGAATCAAGGATGGCGGATCTGGAACCGGCGATCCCGAATTGGAGTTGTCAATAGGGCCGTCTTTAGGATGATTGGGGGTCCTAGACAAAAATATACGGAGTACTAAGTATTAAATATGGAGTATTTGCATACTACGTGTTATATTCGTGTGATTTTTATATGAGGAAAATTGTCAAATAAGACCTCATAATATATCACAATAGTCAATTAAGCCCTTTAACTAAAAAAAACACCCAATTGAGTCCATCACCTCTAGAAAAAAACCAAATTTAGAATTTAACAGGTTGTGATCTAGTTTCCGGGTCATATGGCTGATGTGGCTATTCCTAATTTTTTTTTTCTTTTTCATTTTCTTTTTTTTCCTTTTTTGGTTCTCTCTTCCCTTACGTTTCTTCCTGTCTCATCCCGTTTCTTCTTCTTTGTTTGTTCTCCCCAGGTACCCTTTGTACGAACCTTTTCTTTCTTTCTTAAATTTTTGTAACTTTCTCTCCTTTCTCCCCACACTTCTTCCCACCCATACTGCTGATCCCCCCTTCCATTTCTTCTTCTACCCTTTTCATTCTTCTTGTTGAAGTTAGGAATTCCGACGAAGACTCGAAGATGTCGGCTTGGGCGGAGGATTCCAGCTTCCACGCAGGGCCGGTCCTGACATTTTATGAGCCCAGGACAATTGAAAAAAAGACCCTTAAAAGGTTATATAAATATATTACAAAAGCTTAACTCTATATACGCAAATTTTAACATTAATGTGAGTCCTTCATCAAAGTCTTAAAATTTATGAACTAATTATACTACCTCCGTCCTTTAAAACATTGTCAACTTTCTTTTTTTGGATGTCTCACTAACTTTGTCACTTTCTCATTTAAGTAAAGAATTTGTGGTTTCGTTTAATTCTCTTTCCTCTTCACAAACCTCAACCACACAATTTTTATTTTATTAATCCCCGTGCAGGTCAAACTTAACAAAGTTTTAAGGGACGGAGGGAGTATTAAAAAATGAAAAATAAAATTAGAAAATTACTTGTTAAACTAAAATTTCAAATTTGGAAGATAGTTTTGAGGAAATTAGGAGAGTGCAGATTGTTGATCGAACCGAATTAAAGTCCAAAGCTGAAACCTTGAAATTAAGCCGACCTAACAGGAATTGTTGTCAGGCCGAGGCAATTTGGGATCCTTCTCGATGGATTTTTTTTATGAAAGTTTTTAAGCATGTTCTTCATCAAGTTTATAATATCTAAAACACAATCGATTAAAACACAATCGAAAAGTCGGTTAAATAAATTATTGAATCATAATGCACATTATTTATATACATAAAGCACAATATGTTTCAATATTTTACTTAACCGAGTTACCAGTGGAATTTTAAGCTGAAATTTTGTGGATGTAATCTACACTTGATGAAGAATATGTTGGAATAAATCCATGAACACTTTCATCTTCATATTGGAATTATCTAGAGAAATAACTGAGCGGAAGCATACCTCACTCCATTGGAGATGATCTTTAGAGATCCAGGAGATGGAGGCTAGAGTTTGCACATTCTAATTGATACACACCCTCGGAAATTATCTCTCTAACAATGAGATACAGAAAGACAGAATGTCGTGTTCAACTAGGGGCCATAACCCCTCTATTTATAGAAAATGCTTAACCCTAACCAGCCCATCATTAACTAGGTTAAGCCCATGAGTCTCTACACATTTGAGTCTTATACCTTATTCGATAACATATTAGTCCACTTAAATTAATATCCATAGGGCCACTAATTTTTGGGCCTAAATATAAGATAGCAAATATTGTAGTAACATACAATAGTAGTATGAGTCCAATAATCTAACAATCTCGCACTTGGACGACATACACATGCATACACAATCCTTAGCATTGTATGTTTACTTTACGAGCTCCAAAATTTTGCTATCAAACTGTAGTCATCTTTAATCAATTCGGTCCATTAATTATTTCAACATAGGACCAAAGAAGTCTTTGCTATATCTGAATAACTAGACCCATCAATGATCACATACATTAATATAATAAACGACATGGATCAAGTATAGGTGTATAGCGTGGAAATAACATGAAGTGTGGTCTGGAATAGAATGTCTATTTCCAACTTGTATGGAGTTTGTTCTAATGTATGGAGTTTGTTCTAATGTGTTCTATAGACAACTTTCCTTTTTGTACTCATCCTTTAACAATTTTAAATTTGACCCCAATGTGTTTTGCCTTGATCAAATTACTATTGTTCTTAGCATAGAGGACTGCTGATCTATTGTCACACAATAGCTTAAGTGGTCTTTCAATGCTATCCACTATGCGCAGTCCACTAACAAAATCTCGCAGCCATAATGCCTGATGGGATGCCTCATAACATGCTATACTCTGCTTCCATGGTGGAAGTAGTGTAAGAGTCTGCTTGATACTCATCCAGGAGATAGCTCCTCCAGCTAGAATATAGATGTATCCTGAAGTGGATTTCAAGCTATCTTGACATCCAACAAAATCAGAGTCGGTATACCCAATGATCTCAAGCTTATTCGATCTCTGATATATGAGCATATATTCCTTTGTTCTCTGTAAATACCGCATGACCCTTTTGGCTGCTTTCTAATGGTCCATTCCTGAATTGCTCAAATATCTACCTAACATCCCAACAATGTATGCCAAATTAGGTCTTGTACAAGCCTGGGTACTGCATGAGACTAAACTTGTGTCCTTTGAAACAAGAGTATCTATTGGTTTGTAGTCTTGCATGCCAAACCTTTTGAGAACCGTATTGATGTAGCTCTTTTGTCAGAGTCCAATAACGGCTTTGGAGCGATCTCAGTGTATTTGAATTCCTAATACAAAAGAAGCCTATCCAAGATCTCTCATTTCAAAATTCCTTGAAAGAAATTTCTTAGTTTCGTGCAATAAACCTATATCGTTGCTAGCAAGCAGTATGTCATCAACATACAAGACCAGAAAAATATGAGTACTCCCACTGAACTTGTGGTATATACAATCATCACTGACATTTGGTTGAAAATCAAAATATATAATGACTTTATGAAACTTGTGATACCACTGACGAGAAGCTTTCTTGAGCCCATAGCTGGATTTCTTTAATTTGCAAACCATTTTTTTTGGATCTCCCGAAACAAAGTTTTCTCGTTGCTCCATATAGATTGATTCCTCAATGTCACCATTGAGAAATGCAGTTTTTACATCCATCTGATGAAGCTCAAGATCAAAATGTGTCACTAATGCCATTATTATTCTAAAAGAGTCTTTCGAAGATACTGAAGAGAAAGTCTCTTGCACTACGCAAAAAATGGCCTTTTTCAACATACGAAAACAGTCAAAAAATGTATTTTCAACTGTTTTGGTCAGTCGAAATGGGCGTCGAAACAAAAGAGTCAAAAAAATATTCGACTCGCTTCATTAATTGATATCAAATTTTGGACTTCATTAGTTGAACATCAACTTCATTAGTCTCTTACCGAATTCCTCATATTTAAGGATTGAAAATAGAATGAGTCGTTCTATGGTACCTCTGGAAATTTTGAAGGTACGATGCATTTGATTGTGTGGACAACTAAAATTATGACACCTGGGAATTTAAAACTAACGTCCATTAATGAAATGACTTGGAATCTCTTTTAAATCAAATTTTAAGGGGATGTCTCCAACGCAGATTTTAAAAGATTTTAATGGAGTTTAGAATTTCATTCAAATCTAGGTGTCCTCAACTTAGATTTCTATAGAGTCTATTAAAATTCAGGTATCCTCAAACATTCCATGGATTTAATGGACTTTGATAGACTTTGATGGACTTTTAGGCTAAAAATTGAATAAATCCTTCAACGATCTCACTACCATCCCTTGGATTTCCAAATCCATTTAAAAAAGACCTGTGCACATCTCTAGAGCAGTTCAATCTTCCATCTTCCATCTTCCACCTTCTTCATCCTTCAAATTTTATCACTCGGGCTGATTAATCATCCCAATTCCCTGGTAAATTCTTTGTTCTCTACATTCATTGTTTATCAGACTTCTCTTCTTTTTGTTCTGATCGATGGTGGCTCGTTTGTAACATATGAGAAATTTAATTTGGATGTCTTTTTATTCTATTATTTTTTTCAATTGGGTTTCCATAGCTTTGTGATATAAGCATTCTACAAACGAGCCATGATGTCTTTTTATGCTTTGTGATTTAAGCATTCTACACGATTTTATTCTAATAGTAGACTGAAATTATTAGTTTGAGCAGTTTTTTCTGGTTCTTGTTCGTTTTAACTGCAGTATAGACAACTAGCACGACGAAGTGTCATTTTACCTGCAAAGTAACGCTCATTAGGATTGATGTTCTAAAAAATGATCAAGTGTGGGGGCTGGGAACGAACGAATGAACAGGTGTGGCGGCTGCAGAGTAACACAGCTGAATTTTTAAAAAAATGAATGAATAATTTTTTTTATCAAAATATTCCGACAACTTTTCCGATGACGGTTTGTAGCGGCTGAGCAGGTGTGGGGGTTGGGAATTAGGGCAGGGATTTGCACCGGTTTGTATTTCAAATCTATTAAAATCCATTAAAATACATATGATTCCATGAAATAGAATTCCATAGAATTCCATATGAATCTCATGGAATCTCTAGAATTCCATTAAAATCCATAGAATCTACAATCCTTTAAAATCATTTAAAATCCGTGTTGGGGACCCCCTTAGTGATTTGCACTACGGTCCTTATGTTAATGTTTTCTAGTTTGACGGCGTAAAGGTTATTTTCACAAACAGAATGAACGCAAAGCTACATTGCGATGAATGGAGATGGGGGTTGCGACTTGCGAGTGGTGACGGAGCAAGGGTAAATGGGCGACGGTTCAGTTAAGGTCTCAAGAGAGAAACATTGGCAATATTTGTGTTTTCTTATTTAGTTTGTATAGGGAGCAACATATTAGCATATATATATGCTACAGATATATTCTCACAGACAGAGCAATAATACACTTTGATATACTGTTCTTCTAAATCAGTTTATTACATGGTATCAGAGGCACCGTCATAGGCGGTGACGGACACGGTTTTCATGGCCGGAGAAAATGCGCCGGCGAAGATAGACCATACGACCTCGTACTTTCGGGACCGCAAGACCGACCGGGAGACTTCATTACGCTGGTGCGTCTTAACGGAGATAACTATGATGAATGGTCTAATTCCGTTCGACTAGCTCTTCGGGCAAGGCGCAAATACTGTTTTGTGGAGGGCTGTGTGCTGGAACCAAAGCATCCATGTATAGAGGACGATTGGATGACACTCTAAGGGTATGTTTGGGAGTTGAGTTTTGAAGGGGAGGGGAGGTTAATAGGGGTTTATAACCCTCCTTTTTATGTTTGGGAGTTTAAAAAATGGAGGCATGGTTTTGGAGAGCTTTTGTAACTCTTCAAAACCCTCCAAATGCTTAATTTTTAAGTTCCCCCAATTTGGAGAGTTTTGGAGGAAAATTAACAAGATGATAATTTAAAGCTAAATTAAAAATGAATATCAGCTCAATGATTTGAATTCGTCACATTTCAAAGTGATTTTAATTATAATTCCTTCAAAAACTCTCTTCTTCTGATTTTATTACTCCCAAATACAAAGAAGGACTTCCTCACCCTCCCCTCCCCTCCCTTTTCCCTCCAACAAAATACCTCCAAAGTCTTCCCCACCCCTTCCCTCCAAACTTCCAAACATACCTGATCGAGGGTGGTTTCCTGGTTATTGAACGTCATCTCTAACGATCCTAAACAAACTCTGTCAAACTATGAGAATGCTTACCAACTTTGGACAGACCTCAAGGAGAGGTTCTCGTTCGTTGATGGACCCAAAATTCACCAGGTTAAAACCAACCTGGCTAGATGCGAACAACCCAAGGGAATGACGGTCGGACACTACTACGCGAAATTGAAGCAACTATGGGACGAATTGAACAGTTATGAACCCCTCCCAGCCTGTAAATGTACAAGATGTACCTGCAAATTGAATGAACAGCTTGAGAAAAGAAGGGAATCGGAACGATTCCATCAGTTTGTCATGGGTCTCAATCCAGAATCGTTCAGCCAAATCAGGTCCCAACTTCTCACGCATACCCCTCTTCCTTCACTGAACAGAGCTTTTCAACAAGTCTGCCAAGAAGAGAGAGTGTGTGGGATGAGCCAAAATCGTGAAGACAGAACCGATGTGCTGGGCTTTGCTGTTCGAAGTTCGAACGGATGACAGAAACACCATCAAACCTGGGAAATCGAACAAACCTGGAGCGGTGTGCACTCACTGTCGTCTTCCTGGACATGACGTCTCTAGATGCTTTGAGCTCGTGGGCTACCCAGATTGGTGAGGCGACAGGACTCGGGCTGACCAGAAGGGCGGAGGACGTGGCAGAGGCTCTATTGGCGGCGGACGTGGTGTAGCTGTGGCTATCGGTCGTGGTCGTGGCAATGTTCGCGGACATGCTGCGGCAATCGAAGGAAGTCACTATTAGCTGCTTTTAGTAAAACAAATACTCATTCTGATCGCATCTCGGGTAAGTTTGATATTTTCTCCAAGATTATTGATACTGGAGCATCTAATCATGTGACAGGAAATCTCTCTTGTTTAAGTGATGTTATTGAAATTAGTCCTTGCTCCATTGGACTTCCCGACGGACAGAAAGTGTAGGCTACCAAACAGGGATTCGTTCATTTATCAGATAATTTATGTCTGACGAATGTGTTATTTGTTCCAAAATTGCATTCTGGTCTCATTTCAGTCTCCCAGATAACTGAGGAAAATAGGGGCCTATTTACTAACAGATATATTTTCCAATTTTTCAGAAAACTAGAAAACTGGAAAAAGAAAAACAGAAAACGTGTTTACTAAAGAAAATTGCTGGAAAACTGGAGAAAGGAAAACAGAAAATCATGTTTGCCAAATTGTTTTCCAAAACAAAAAAAAAGAGATATGTCTCTCTTTTCCTTCATGAATTGGAGAAGTGACTTTTACTAGTTTTCCAAATTTGGAAAACGCGGATGCTGCAGTACTGCTACAATGAATTTACATATTTACACCTAGTGGTGGATTCGGTCCCACTCCGATGTCACTTCTAGTCCGGTCAACGACCCTACAGTCTTTATCTTGTTCGGTTTAGGACCCGGCGGTCCGGTTCGGTCATTGACCTGACAGTTTGTGTTTGGTCCGATCGACGACCCCACAGTCCGGTCCGGTCATGGACCCGACGGTTCCTGTCCAATTCGGATGACGGCGGAGCAATCCCGGTTCGGTCCGATCGATGACCCGACGGTCCCTGTCTGTTCCACGACCTGATGATCCCCCATCCAATTCGGACCACTACCTCACGGCCCATGTCCGGTCCACGATCCGGCGGCCCCTGTACTAGGTTTGATTTCGGAATGGGACCGTACTTACGGTCTTCTGGTCAGTCACGAACCAGGTGAAAATTTTTTATGAACATTTTTCAGATTAGAAAAAGGAAAACTAAAAAAATAAAACAGAAAATTAGAGATTGAAAAACTGGAAAATGAAAATAGAAAATTAGAGAACAAAAAAAAGAAATAGAAAATTGGAAAATATCTCTGTTAGTAGACAGACCCTAATTGTTTCGTCCAATTCACATCTGACTTTTGTGCTATACAGGACCGACACTCGAGGAGGCTGATTGGGGCGGGTGAACGTCGAAATGGACTTTACTATTGCCGGCGCATACCTAAGGCTTATATTTATGGAGTGAGAAAAGAGACTGAAGATTTGGACATGTGGCATAGGCAGTTAGGACATTCGTCAGATACAATAATGTCTTGGTTACCTGGTGTGAGTGAGTCTAAACATGTTATTTCTCACCCCTGTGATATTTGTTTTCAAGCCAAACAGGCTAGGGATTCCTTTCCTCTTGGTATAAATAATTCTACTCATAAATTTGAGCTGATACATTGTGATCTATGGGGCTCATATAACTCCCCTGCTTCTGGTGGCGCTAAACATTTTTTAACCATAGTTGATGATTTTTCTAGAGCAATTTGGGTGTATCTTCTTGTTGATAAAACTGAGGTGTTTGCTATGTTTATGTCCTTTTGTGCTATGGTGGAACGCCAATTTTCCCAGAAAATTAAAGTAGTACGCAGCGACAATGGTACCGAATTTAATTGTCTTCGGGATTTTTTTCGTGTATCTGGCATCATCTTTCAGACTTCCTGTGTAGCTACTCCGCAACAAAATGGACGGGTTGAACGCAAACACAGACACATCTTGAATGTTGCACGTGCTCTGCGTTTTCAGGCGCATCTTCCCATTCAATTTTGGGGAGAATGTGTGCTCATGGCGGCACATCTCATAAATTGTACCCCGTCTGCTGTTCTCAAACACAAAACCCCCTATGAAATTCTGTTTGGTTAAGTCCCTGATTATAAGGCTCTTCGGGTATTTGGTTGTCTATGTTTTGCTCATAATCTGCGCTCTGCTCGGGATAAATTCCTCAGTCGTAGTCGCAAATGTATTTTTGTGGAAAAAATTCCACTTTTGGTCTCATGACTATTATACCACTTCAACATTTAGTCTCTTACTTTTAGATTGTCCACATTTAGTCCGTGACCATTATCCCCTCACCACCCCTCGTCCTTCCGGCCAAAATTCCGACAAATTTAGTCCACTTCTCAGCCTCAGAATTAGTCATTGCATTAAATTTTGCATCAGGTTGGGTTTTTCATATCAGTCTTGCATTAAATTTGGTTTTTCATACCTAAAATCTGCATTAAATTTGCCAGAATTTTGGCCGAAAGGACGAGGGGTGGTGAGGGGATAATGGTCACGGACTAAATGTGGACAATCTGAAAGTAAGGAACTAAATGTGGAAGTGATATAATAGTCATGGGACCAAAAGTGGAATTTTTTCTATTTTTGTGGGATACCCCTTTGGGAAAAAGGGTGGCGTTTGTATGATTTGGAAACCCATGACTATTTCGTTTCTCGAGATGTCAAGTTCTTTGAGGACCAGTTTCCATTTAGTGTCCCCACACCAGCATAGATACACGGAGATTCCACACCAGATGAACCCCCACCGGTGTGGGAATATCCTACGGCAACACAGTCTTGGTCTACATCAGCTGACTTCTCTACCTCTTCCACTCCAGCACATGATGACGGATCACCATAGAGTGAAGCTACACAACCAGAAGACTTGGGCCGGGGTAAACGGGTCATAATTCCTTCAGTGAAACTGCGCGATTATGCGACTCACACTATTATTCATGAAAGTACATTCCCCGCGTCACCTGCACCGACAGTCTCTTCAGGTACTCCGTTTCCTATAGCTCACTATGTTAATTGTGATAATTTTTCTCCTCGATATCATGCTTTTTTAGAAGTCGTGTCCAATCATACGGAGCCCGCTTCTTATCATGATGCGGTTAAAGATCCTGAATGGTGTGATGCCATGCGTGCAGAAATTCGTGCGCTTGAACAAAATCATACTTGGACTCTACAATCTCTCCCTCCAGGCAAGCGAGCATTAGGGTGTCGCTGGGTTTATAAAATCAAGTACCACTCTGATGGTAGTATTGAGCGTCTCAATGCTCGTCTGGTTATTTTTGGCAACCGCCAAGTTGAAGGCCTTGATTATAATGAAACCTTTGCTCCAGTGGCCAAAATGGTCACCATTTGTGCTTTTCTGGCAGTAGCTGCCTCCAAACAATGAGAGCTTCATCAGATGGATGTGCATAATGCTTTTTTACATGGTGACCTAGAAGAAGAGGTGTACATGAAGATCCCACCAGGTTATACCACTTCTGACACATCCATGGTTTGTCATTTGCATAAATCTCTGTATGACTTAAAGCAAGCACCACGTTGTTGGTTTGCTAAGTTGGTACAAGCTCTTCGGGGCTATGGGTTCTCTCAGTCCTATGCTGACTACTCTTTGTTTACACGCACTCGAGGGACTATCCAGTTAAATGTTCTCGTCTATGTGGATGACTTAATTATTTCTGAAAATGATCATGATGCGATCCTTCACTTTAAATCCAGTTAAATGTTCTCTTCTATGTGGACGACTTAATTATTTCTGGAAATGATCATGATGCGATCCTTCACTTTAAAGCATATCTCAGTGACTGCTTTCATATGAAGGATTTGGGTGCTCTTCAGTACTTTCTTGGCATTGAGGTAGTTCGAAGCTCCTCTAGTATTTTCCTCACTCAACGGAAATATACTCTGGATATCTTATCTGAAACAAGACTTCTTGGGGCAAAACCTGCAACTTTCCCCATTGAACAGAATCACTCCTTAGGAGTAGCAACTGGGCCTCCTCTTGCGGATCCGGAGCCTTATCGACGTCTACTTGGCCGTCTTATTTATCTCCCTGTGACTAGGCTTGATCTGGCTCATTCTTTTCAAATCTTGTCTCAATTTATGCAGGCACCGTGTCAAGTTCACTGGGATGTTGCGCTACAGGTAGTTCGGTATCTAAAAGGCTCTCCAGGACAGGGCATTCTTATGCACGCTGACAGTGATCTGTCATTGACTGGATGGTGTGACTCGGATTGGGCTGCGTGTCCACTCACCTGGCATTTTTTGTCAGGATGGTTAGTCTTTCTTGGTCACTCGCATGTCTCCTAGAAAACTAAAAAGCAATCTACTGTCTCTCGCTCTTCAGCCGAAGCTGAATACCGTGCTATGGCTGCTACGACATGTGAACCCAAATGGCTTAAAGCTTTGCTGCTCAGTCTCGGCATTCATCATCGCAAGGCTATTCCTCTCTTTTGTGACAGTCAGTATGCTTTACATATTGCTCGAAACCCGGTTTTCCATGAACGAACCAAGCATATTGAAGTAGACTGTCATTTTGTTCGTGATGCTAATAAAGATGGACTCATTTCTCTGAGTTATGTTCCTACTACTGTCCAGCTTGCGGATATTTTTACTAAGGCTCTTGGGAAGACTCAGTTCCATTATTGAGGGGGGTATTATGGGAAGAAATTTATTTGGATAGTCAATATTCTAGTACTAATATTAAATAGACTAAATCATTGGCAATATTTGTGTTTCCTTATTTAGTTTGTATAGGGAGCAACATATTAGCATTTATATATGCTACGAATGTATTCTCACACACAGAGCAATAATACACTTTGATATACTGTTCTTCTAAATCAGTTTATTACACAATACACCAAGCCTCCTTACTGCTATCATAAGTTAGCTTTAACCATGCCAACAAACTCTCACTCCCAGTTGCAGGTACCTACCAGCCCACTTGACTCCAAATTGCCCTCACTTTTGGACAATAGAAAAACAGATGCAACACGCCCCTTCTCCCCCCACCTCCAGATAAAACTATCCGGGACCTCCCTTTTGCTTAGTAAAATCCTCCCAGCCCGCTCTCTATCCCTTCCCCCCACAAGATCATTCAGATGACTTGCAGCACAGAGTACAGTTAAACTGTACTGTTAAAATCAATCGTTAATGATAGAGTATATGGGTCTAGACCCCATGACCCACATACTTCCACTACGGCAAGCAAAACCCTGGGGACGTACGTCCTCCAGCACATGGAACACCCCGGGGACGTACGACCTCCAGCTACATACAAGACCCCAGGGACGTACGACGTCAAACACAAGGAACACCCCGGGGACGTACGGCCTCTAGCACTCCGTCAGCCATACGTACGTCTCCAAGGACTTCGTCTGCCACAACCAGACGTACGCCTCCAAGGATTTCGTATGCCACAACTAGACATACATCTCCAAAGACTTCGTCTGCCACAGCCAGACATACGTCTCCAAGGACTTCGTCAGCCACAGCCAGACATACGTCTCCAAGGGCTTCGTTTGCCACATCCAGACGTACGTCTCCAAGGGCTTTGTCTGCCACAGCCAGATGTACGTCTCCAAGTGCTTCGTCTGCCACAGCCAGACGTACGTCTCCAAGGACTTCGTTTGCCACAGCCAGACGTACGTCTCCAAGGACTTCGTCTGCCACAGCCAGACGTACGTCTCCAGGGACTTCGTCTGTCACAGCCAGACGTACGTCTCCAAGGACTTCATCTCCCACAGCCAGACGTACGTCTCCAAGGACTTCATCTGCTAGACTTCCATACTTAGCTCATGTATCTGAATGTAATCAACCCAATAGAGGGCTTATATTGTAATGGGCCTCCCAAGCCCGAGACTTGGGAGCCCAGCCCGCTTTTCCCTATAAATACTCCCCTTTGGAGTAGTTGTAATGATTCGAAACTCATTTAATACAAATCACTTCTCTCTCTAGCTCTCACTTCTCTCTAAGAGGTTATACTCTATCATTTGGTGCTCTCGTTGAGAGCTAGATTAATCAAGTTAACATCCTTCGTCGCTACCAAGCACAAGCTAACTGAAATGGGAAGAGCAAGGTCAATCCGTAACCTCATCGGCAAAGCGATCTATGAAACTCAGGACGAACGTGAACGCTCCGGTGATGCTACGGCCGACAAGGCAGGGGATGAGGAGATCTTCCATGAGACGATCGTCCCCAAGGCTGACCTTCGTGATCAGCTTAATGGTAACACTCAAGACGCCCGCATCGGCCTTGAGAAGAAACGTATCGAGAAAAGCAACAACGCCTCGGGGCAACAGATTACTCCCACTGTTGACCCTCAGCATCAGGCCACTCTATTGGCCATCATAGCCAGCCTGGCTCAGAACCCCACCGTTCTCAGTGCAATGATGCCAAGGATGGGGGAGAACACCACCACACCACCTCCTCCTCCCCACCCGTTGGTCATGAACGTCGGCAATGAGGAGGGGGTCGTGGCCCAAGACATGGCATCCCATTCCGATCCTGCTTCCCCTCCTCGAGGTGGACCGACCCCAGTGCGTAGAGCCTCGGCCTTCAATAGGCTAGGGGACGCGCATCGTCGGCCAGCATCGAGGAGGCTAACGGGACGGATTAGTGAACATGAGCCTGGCTCACCAAAGGAGAGATTGGGGTCCGTATCCCGGACAGCGGATCGGCCCTGCCTTGACAAAGGCAAGGGCAAACTACATGAGGACGACGCACGTCGCCACATCAACACGGCCCGAGCAACCTGCGTGGCGACGAATGTCACCACTACGGCCGTCAAAGACCCCCAGGACGACGTCATCGCCTAACTTGAAAGGAGGCTCGCTCAAATGGAAGCAAAGCAAATGGCCGAGGCACGTACGGCCGCTGCATCT